ATCATCCGTAGGCACTGTTGAAAGGCAAAATCGACTTAAGGACAAAGAGTTCTATTATTTCCTCGACTTTGCATCCATTTCACTTGGAATTATTTTTATGGAATATTTTTTTCCTTGCATCCTTGCCGTTATTTTGTCCAATTTTCGGTAAGATTGGTAGGTCTTTTTTATTTATTTTTAAGGCATCACTCTTTTGTTCTCCCAACAAATTCCAAAAATAGCAGATCCATGATAAATCTACCTCCCACACCTAGTAAACCCCTACCATACCAGCCAATACGCCTAACAATCAATAGGTTATCAATTGGTGTACTTTCAGGTTGGACCCTTCATCTCCCTTAAATCCAATTTTTCTCCATCCCTTGTACAGGCAAATTGATTCATAACAGATACGCCAAGATGACGGGGATCTGTAGAGAAGATGGTAGTTTTGAATGCTCAAGAAATAAAAATTACAAGATTTTTAACATATTACCGAATTGGCTACAAGTTTCCCAAATATGCAAATAACCATGTACACATAACTGCAGCAAGTTCACTACCCAATATATTGCTGAACATATAGCTGTATGGTTCTATTCAATTTGATGATGAGTGAGCGTTTTTCAGAGATACTGACTAGTTAAGAAACCTAGCTGGAGGTTCCTGAAAGTAAAAAAATACATGAAAGGAAAGAAAAAAAGTGAAAACCTTGATGACCTGCAGCGTAAGAAATGCCATCCAAATGAAGACAAGATGACCAAGTTCCTTCACAGGACATTCTTGAGAACAATGACCTGAGATTGAGAGTTTAAGAAACGCGTGCTAGTAGAGAAATATATCACACATCTATTTTTTCCAAGCCTTTGGCAAAAAGGAAAAAGGAAAATGTGATCCTTTGTTGCATGTTTGGTCTGCAATATTAGATTGTCTCGACATTACAGTGAATAAAATTTTATTAATTGACACACCGGCCACTTGCCTCCAATTGCTTTGCTGCCACCTGCAATAATATAGCAATTGGCATTTAATACGAAAGAGAAAAACAAGCTATACCAAGAAGGACAAAAGGATCCAAATAATATAAAAATACATTGCACTTGGATTTTGCCACGACTCAATTAATTTGCTTATTTATGATTGTATACTTGGTATACTTTCATCTTTAGACATGAGAGGTGGAGAAGTATTTTGAATTGCTCTATTCTCAACAGACGTATAAGTTGTTATTTAATACTATGTTCCAAACTTACAACCATTTTTCAATCTCAATAATAAGTGAACTTGTATTGGTTTACATCACAGTTATTTAATTTTTTTATTTTTTTTAGATTTGTGTTGAATCAATGATTTTTGCGTTTGTGTTAAGCTCTTTGCCTGGTTGCTGCTGCCTTTGTCGCTTCGTTTGTTGGCCAACACGTCATATTTATTCAAATGTAATTTTTGTGAAACAAGTGAAGGAGGCATCTCAAACATAATTAAAAAGATTGAGAGGTATGAATACATGAAAATGGAGAACCTTATAATAAGTATAAAGTTTAACATAGTTTGTGATCTCGAGAGTACGTGCTCCTTTAGATTAACTGCTGAGTCAATTGTCTTTTAATTGTTTGCTCTGTTTAGCTGTTTATAATCGAATATCAACTCAAGTAGAAATTAAAAAGAAATTTTCATAATTTGGCTTCTACTTTTATTATTGTCTTAAATTTTGAGGTAGAAGCTTAGTTAGAAGTTCATAGATAAATTTTGATTAAGACGATTTTAATTTCAAAATCCAATTAAATATGAAGTAAAAGTATCATACTTTTAAATATAATCTATTTTCTTTTAACAAATTCATTTTATCAAGTTCAAATCTCACCTGATGGCATCTTAAAAATGTCGAGTGTCAAGTACAAAGAAGAAATGGCTGATTATTGAAATCGACGTTGACAAATTGCATCAAAGCAATTCATAGGGCCTGCTTAGGGGTTTCGGAGTAGTGGTTATGAGCATTCTCTAATGTACCAATTTTGAGAGTTTATAATGGGATCAGTTTTTAGTGGTTTTAGTATCATTTTTAAAAACAATTTAATCTATGCTTACGAGTTTATCATCCAACGATTTTGAAAAAAAATTTAAAATGACAAAATTAAATATATCTCCCTTAGTGAAATTTTCTGTTTTATAATTTCTTGTGTGAAATATTTTTTACTCATAAGTGATATTTTTCTATTAACTAAAATTTTTTACATATAACCATTAAAATAAATTCTTAAGTTAGTGCTTGTTTCGTAAGGATTTTGATAATTGATTTTTTGACTGTTAAAAGATAAAGTGGATCCTACATGTGAGAGAAGAATTCAAAAATGACGGTTGAAATAGTAAAATAACGATCAAAAAATTGATTTTAATTGACTTAATAGCTATACCAAACAAACTCTAAATATTTGCTTAAGATTTTAAGTTAGTTTCTTTTTACTTATAAGTAAACTTTACAATTATAAATTAACTTCGTAGTTTTAAATAATTTTGAAGTGAATTTTTTACTTAATAATTTTTTATATTTAATAAGTGAATTTTTGTCTTATTAGTAATATTTTTAGTTTATATACAAAATTTTTAATGTAAAGATGATTTTTTTTATATATGTGATATTTTACTTATAAGCAATTGTATTATTATAATGTAGTTTTAGCTTATAAATAATTCTTTAGTTAATATATTTTTATTTACAAGTTAGTTTTAAACAAAATATGATGGTTAAAAAATAATTATTTTATAGAGAGTAAAATTAGAAAAGAATATGTCGGTTAAAAATAATTATTCTATAAAGGGAAAAATCAAAAGAGGATATGACAAACGACCAAAATACATCGATTTAGTTGGTTGAAATAATCGGTCAAAATTACACTAAACCAATTTTGAATTATTTAAAAACCAGCAAAAATCAATGCCCAAAAAATTAGCAAGCACTGATTTCCTCTTATAGATGGTGCCATCCAAAATCTATCAAAACCGGTGTAAAAAAAAACTTCCAAATAGGCCCTTAGCCCCTTTTCTCCTACTTAATTATTTATCGAGGCATTTTCAAGAATGTCCAATTATAAGGGTTGGAGTTGAAAAGTGTACTTTTTTTATAATCTTTGCAAAAATGTCCAATTTTTAGATCAAAATATCTATTTTACCCTCATGAAAAGATTAATCAATTTTATATCACTTTGGCACAATTTTTAAGAAGAGCAAATAACTTCTACGAGAAGGCACAATAATGATGCTATTACCTAGGTGAGTCCACTTGCTTATATTTTTAATTATATTTTAATCAATTATTCTAGAACAAATGAAGAAGAAGCAAAAATTCCATTACCATATACGAAGAAGTATATGATTCCAACTTCAAAGAAATTATTTTAAGAAATTTACTGTGGTAGAAATTTGAAACTGATTAGGCTTTCATCATTTGTCAGTAGAAGGTATATTTTTTTGAACTCTATTTCTTCGAACTCTCATTTTTTTTGATAAGTTTTATTTAGTAGTTGTTGTTGTATATGTTCAAATCTCAATTTTTTGATAAAATATTTTTTCCCATGGACGAAATTATCCTAAGTATATATTTTTCGTACCATTCATCTTAAATAACTTAGTTAGATAATATACTTCTATATTTAGAATATTATTTATGGTGGAATAAATTCTTGCAAAAATGGTGGTTGAAGTTGAAGAAGATGATAAATGCATGAAATCCCGTCATTTCATTCTCGACATTTTATAAATGTCAATAATGATTATAAACGTCGAGAATGATATTTATACTATCATTCTCGACACTGTTAAATGTTGACAATAACATTAAAAATTTGAGTAAATTGGTAAATTTTCGTGTAGAGTGATTCACATATTGCATGCAGGTAGCATTTTTGTTTTCGATTTTCATTAGTGGTTGACAGTATTGTTGTTTATGACATGCAGCTATGGGAGATGTTAAGAGATTTGTTGTCTCGTATGGTGGTAGATTCGTTAACATAGACGATGGGTGGAAGTGGTTAGGGAACCGAACAACATCAATTGTTGTTCGACATTATATTACATATGAAGAGCTTGTACATAAATTGTTCGAGAAGCTGAATGTTGATAGAATAAAGTTCCGAATTCAATTGAAATTTACAGTTCCAAACATGAATATACCCCCAGCTGATGTAGTCGACGATGAGGATTTGCAATGGTTTATGTCTGTTCACACAGAAGCGGCGTTGTGTGTAATTGCAGATGAATATAATGCTGGAGAGCACGAACTGCATGTCGGAGTTGAGCATTTGTCACCAATAGAAGATGCATTGTGTGAACGCGATGAAGTCGGTATGTGCGAACTACAAGAGCCACAAACGATTGATAATATGGATGAAAGTTTAGGTGAAGGCAATTTGTTTATTCGAAATGCAATTGAGTCGATTGATGAAGAGGACATTGTGGAAAATAAGATATTCTTTAGCAAACGACAGTTACACACAAGGCTTCAACTTAAGGCTTTGAAAGAGAAGTTTCATTTCTAGATTAAAAAGTCGAATCGTAGATCTCTTACTGTGTGTTGTGTCGATACTACATGCCATTGGCTAGTACGAGCTTCTAAGATAAAAACTTCAGAAATCTTTACGATTCGAGAGTACATACTTGAGCACACATGTTCTCTAGACGTTCGACGAAATGCACAAATTCACGCAACGAGTACAATAATTGGGCATCACATAATGCGAAGGTTGGACGATACAAACCAATCATATGTTCCTACGGGTATTATTGGGGATATGGAACATGAGTTTGGTGTACGGATTACCTACAACAAAGCGTGGAGAGCTAAAGAGAAGGGACTTCGATTTCTTCGTGGTACACCCGAAGAAAGTTTTCAGAAATTGCCATCATATTGTCACGTGTTAATCGAGAAAAATCCAGGAACTATTGCACACATTGAACTCGACTCGAATAATAGGTTCTTGTACTTCTTCTTAGCATTCGGGCCTAGTGTACGTGGTTTTTGAGAACACATGAGGCCAGTAATTTGTGTTGATGGAAGTCATTTGAAGGGCCAATATAAGGGAACACTACTAGTAGCTGCAGTGCAAGATGCTAACCTACAAATATATCCTTTTGTGTGGAGTGTTGTCGATGGGGAAACAAATGCATCGTGGTATTGGTTCTTTGCAAAGTTGAAAGATGTCATTGATGATTCAAACCAGCTAGTGTTTGTGTCGGACAGAAAGAAGAGTATTAAATGGGCAATTACGAGGTTGTTCCCACTTTCTCACCACGGTGCCTGCATCTGGCATATCGAGAAAAATCTTATTGCAAGGTATAGCAGTAGCAATGTCATCTTCTTATTCAAGCGGACAGCGCTAGCATACCGCGTATCGGAATTTGATCAGTTTATGACACAGATAAGAACCATTCGACCGTCAATGGCATCTTACTTGGAACGTGCCGGTATATCCACCTGGTCACGGGCACATTTTATTGGTAATCGGTATAACGTTATGACGAATAACATTGCGGAGTCACTGAATTCAGTCCTAAGGCAACAAAGAAGTTTCCCTATAATCTCGTTAATCGAAAATATTACGTCATTGATGCAACGATGGTTCTATGAGAGAAAAAGTGCATCCACGAAATGTAGTACGACTGTGACACCAAAAATTGATGATGAATTGAGAAAATCATTCGACGCCGGTGCAACTTTACCAGTACGAAATTTGGACGAACTCGTTTTTGAGGTAGGTATAGCTACCGAACTTTGTACTGTCGACCTTATAGGTAACACATGTTCATGTCGAGAGTTTCAGATGCTACAAATCCCATGTTCACATGCATCCCGAGCTGCTTGCGCAAAAGAAATAATTGGAAAATAAAACAGCAAGTACAAAAATGAGTAATAACCCCCCCCCCATACATTGATTTGAGATATTGATAAGGTCAATACCAGTCCATTCAATGCTACAAATAGAAATTTGTATTTATTTGTTACGAAATCGACCATAGATCAATTCCCCTTTTGATTTGGGAGTATTGACTACACCCTTAATTCTGAGCTTAAAAATCATTGTATGATTTGTGCTCCTCTTACTACACCACAGAATATTGGCGAGCTGCGTACAATGAAGTTCTTCACCCCGTTGGCCGAGAGTCAGATTGGGTTGTTCCTCGGTCTATTTGCTCCGTCGAAGTTTTGCCCCCGAATATATGTAGAGCACCAGGTCGACCTCCTACCCAACGTCAACGGTCAAGAACTGAAAGGTCCACGTTGAGACGAAAATGCTGCCGATGTGGGGGTTCTGGATATAACAGGCAAACATGTCAGAATTCGACATCTTTAAGTGACACGTATACTTGAATGACATTGTGTATTCTGATCGTCAAATGCCCTGATAACATGAATTATCAATGTTTTGAATTTTTTTCTTTTGTATTACTTGCTTTCTACCTCTTATTTTAAATGTTGTTGAATATATTTTTGACTTCTACTTCTTTCTGTTTCTTTCTTCGTTCTCTCTTGATATCACTTATTTGCAATTGCTTGTTGTAAAATTAAGTTTGTAATATATTTTGAATCCTTTATACGGATTCCTCCCATTTTTTGTGATTTTTCTCTTATATTATTCTAGTCGTTCAAAATTTTATAGCGCACAAACAGGAAAATTCGTATGGGCATTCACTAAATACAAACAACACTTCATTTTTGAATGTCATACTGGATACAAACAAGAGAGGCCAGGTTTGGGGTATAACTACCAACAAGGGAAATGGTGCTTACATATATTCTTATGAACATTTCACTACGATATCATTTTGTTCATCATATAAGTGAATAAGTACATATCTATTTCATCACTGAGATTTTCTTAATCATTGTAGACACAATGTGGTAATGGATACAAAAGCAACCTATGAATGACTCGTTCTCCTAAGTCATTAGACCAGAAAAAATGGTAATCACAACAAAAGGAAGCCATAACTCCAATACATATCGTAGATAACTATTATACAAAATGGTGATCACCCAAAAAATTATCCATCACCTATATGGATTTTATAGCACTACTATATGTACGTAAACATTTCACTTACGATGACTGCATCTTCTACATATCCTCTACGATGGACAAAGAGGACATATCACTGTCGTATTCCTCGTCGGAGCTTATGATGATCACATCTTCATTTTCGACGGGAACTGCTCCAACATTTTCATCCAACAACACATGATGTGCTTCCGGTTGGACCGGTACTGGGACGATCTCACGATGAACTTGAATTGGTTCAATTTCGTCGATTAGATTCGGAAAAGGGATTGGTTGAAGGCAAACCCTACGATGGCGGTTCGAAGGTTGACGAACATATGGAACAAAAATATTGCTTTCATCATCCGAGTCCGAGTCAATGATGATTGGGTTGTCCGCGGACGACCCAGGGGGGTCGAAAGTGATAGTAACATCAAGAACAGGAGTATGTTGAGTTGATGAAGACATAATCAATGGAAAAACTAACTAGTTCTATGACTTTGTTAAATTCTCGTATGTACATATTTAAATAAAGTTCAACATTTTATACTAGAGAAACACTTGTCCGTTGAATGCACGATAAGATATCTCACCAACCAATATGGTTGAAGTCATTGATGGTGATTATTTTACAACTTTTTTTCAAATCAATATGGTTGAGAACGTACTTGTGTTTGGCATACCAACTTTAACTGCTATAGTAATTATAAAGCTGCTTGCTACAGTTTTCGCAGTTAATACACCATTTGGTTGCCTTCACTCTTAGTTAAATTTGGTTGGATCATATTTATGTTGACATTTGATGCCTTCTCGACATTTGTAATGTCGTTATCGACATTAAATAGCTGTTAATCTCGACACTTGACATTACGAATGTCTAGAACGACACTTGGACCAAAATACGATATTTCTCTACATTTCTTCGATTTTCGGACGTTTGATATGTCGTTCTCGACATTACATAGCTGTGAATCTCGACACTTGATATTTCATTTGTCTAGAATGAGATTTCGAGAACATATTACATACCACCATATAAATCGAAATATGCAAACTACTGTGTAAACCAAAATACATTTTACGTGCCACCACATAAAACCAAAATTCATGTTATGTACCACCACATAAAGAAAAATACATATTGCAAAAGGCGGTATCATGAACCGGCTGATCATCAACAGTTACACAAGCAAAGTACAGCTAAGCCACGACAACTATTTCACTATCGGGGATAAAGAAAGTATTCGTTATTCAAAAAATCGACCACAATCTTTCTTCTGTATATTGACATTCTCTCTACTGAAACTGATTCTATTGGATGCCCGAGAATGAAGCATTCTATATATTTGAGTACAAACATTATACAATTTGGCCTGTACAATAAATGATTTTTCGTTAGTCGAAATTAGTATATACAATAGATTAACTATGGTAGTAAATAACAAGAGTTGAAATGCTCACCCATTGTTCGCACACGGTAGATAAGGTATAATCTCCATCTTCATTGGATCATTTATATGTTTCTTTATATCTCGTCTGGTGGACAGGGGTTCACACTGCAATAATGTTTGAACGACTGTGCATGTTGCTTCTGCGTGAGCCTTGATTGCATTAGGTGTGTGAACATTATTGCTGCAGTCGTATATGTAGAATTTCCATTCACAAATATTGACCAGAAACAGATAACATTCATTGCCTGGATATGCACTTGGAATTAATAAATACTTGCATTCCATCCACGAACGACCAGCTACAGGCAATGTACCGTTGACATAGCCTTGTAGGCGAGTTCCATCTGATTCACCTGTCTGGTTATATTCCATATGCCACCTCATTTGCTGACAACACTCCTCTTCAAATTGAAAATCCAAAATTGCATATTTTTTATTGAAGAGAGTACAATTTTCATTCATACGCTGCCTCAATAACTTCAGCTCCAGCTCAATCTGCTAATGCAATAAATATATGTAACATATATTATACATATTAACTACGAAATTAAATTTATTGTGATTGCAAACCTTCACTCACCGCAATATTCAGATCTTTCGTCGGATCCATTAAACTTTTTAGCATGTCTCTTCCATAGACATTGCCACGGCCATCGTCTAAATATGCACTGTATAACATAATTTAAATTACTGTCAAATAATTCAACAAATAATTTTTCACATAGATATAATAATGTGTAGCATTCGGACTATTCAGAATGAGTTACATTTGTTACCCAGATTTATTTCTCGATATCCAATTCCTAATGTCTTTGTACTTCTTCATGTTGTAGTCTTCTAAGGGACGGCCTGTGGATGATGAAGCCTGTGTGTATTTCATCTTCTTTTCCCTTTCTCTTCTCCGCATGTCAACACTTTCTGCTGGTTGAGACGTTGATGTCTCATACGGTTGAACAGTAGGAGTTGGACTTGCATGGAGAGGAACATCCTGTTGCATGGAACCTATAATGGCTTCTGATTACACCCAAAGAATAACGCGGTTATTGTAGTACAGCTTTGGGGTGTCGTATCCACAGGGAGATGGAAAATTTCTCAAAAGATCAAACAAACTAGGGTTTTCGTAATTAAATGTGGGAATGATTTGTCACTTGGAATAAAAATTAATTATCAATATGCGAATTAGTGAAGCGTCGGAGTTCCCCCATTGGATTGGATCAATCAACATCAATAATTCATGTATTTTTACTCAATTAGAGGTTTTCTTCTCAACTCTCTAATTGGAAGATTTAACAGTGAAGTCCAATTTTATTCCAATTATATTTCTAGAATCTAGATTTTTTATAACACATTCGCACATTTTTATTGGAACAAGATCAAAAATCGACCATATACGTCAGGCATAAGGCAATAATCAATCCGCCAATAAAGTGATATTAAGATTAAAATTCAACAATTATTTCAATCATTCGATAGAAAGAGCATGGCTAGATCTATGAAGGATTTGATAAAAGTTAAAATAATCTCAACAATAAGTAATTTAAATTGAAACTCAACAAATAGTTTAATTTAACAATGGAAAAAGCATGATTGAATCCATAAGAAATTTATTAAAAGTTAAACAAATTTCAATACTAATTCATAACGAGAAGATCCAAATCTAGAAATTATTAAGCAAAGAGAGTTCGACTCACATGAAATTATGACGTGAAATCTCCAAATCCAATGAGTTCCTTCGTTGCTTCACCGAGTTCCTTAGTTTTCCATGGAGTTTCTTGAGCACCAAGATGAAAGAAATAGGTCTGGGGGCGTCTCCGTTCGTTCTGGGTGGTTTTGGGCATTAATATCCCGTGAAAATTAGGTTACCATAAGAGATTCAATCGTATAAGGAAAGTGAGATTCGGGTGCCAAAAAAGCACTATGCGACCGCATGGTTATTGTCATTGCGGTCGCATGGTTATGCACTTTCAGCCTCTTCAATTCTCGGTATAGGTGTATGCGACCGCATAGTAGAAAGGCATGCGGCCGCATGGTTTCGCAAGACAGTTTTCAGTGTTTTAATCATAACATTCTTTCCTGATGTCCAATTGAGGTGATTCAAGTTGCATTGGATAGCTAACTCAAAGGGCCACAATTTTTATTCAGAAGTCATCTCCCAATTCGATCATCTTCCATGTCAAAAATGGGTCCCAACATGAGACTAAAAATTGGTGTGTTGGTTTTCGATTGGAAATTGATGTATTGATCAAACTTTGATGTTATTTCATCCCTTTGGCTTCGTTCCTCATCCACTTGACCTCTAACACTTTCGAATCTTCATCATAATCTTGGACACAAGTTTGGATCATTTGCACTTTAGTCCTCGAACTTTCGTTCTCTTCTACTTTGGTCATTTTTCACTTGTTTCTTCCGAATTTCATCTTTTTCACCAAAATGCAACCTAAACCAAAATATAAGAGTAATGAGTGCATTTTGGCATAATATAATCACATGAATGCAATAGTTAAGAGGGGAAAATATGGTATTTTACACTCTTATCAGCTTCCATGTTGGATTCCCAGTTAGATAATCTGTTTAGCATATTCTCATTCTTTTCGTCAATGTAAGATCTGACAGAACATAAACTTGTATCAATATAAGACTGTATGTGCTCCTGTTGCTGCTGGAATAATTCTTCGTGTTTTCGAAGAATCGCCTGATAATGGGCTTCTTGTTGTTGCGATTCCTGGGCCATATGAGTGCTAAACATATTTGATAGAGAATTATCCATGTATGACTGCATACCACATAGCATGTAATCTTGCATCGATTTGTTATGTTGTTCGAACAGTTGCTTTTGGCTTTCAAGGATATCCTGGTTCAGGGCTCTGGATTCTTCAACAAATTCTGCCTTCAAGTTGCCACACAGACTGGACACATCTGATATCGTATGTTGCCTATACATACCTAACATTTCTTCCATTCGGTCTTCAGTTACATATCTGGAGGCACCAGAAGCA